AAAAAGAATGTCAACAGCTGCAAGATTTTTTTATAACACATGTAGATTGTCAAGCACTCTTTTGTTTACACCTTTATTTTCTTTTTTTATTCTATAACTTCACATACTTGTTTATATAACCGCAGCGGTTGGTCTATTACTGTAAAGAAATAGATTCTTATGCTTTTTTCCTTAAAAAATTATTCTAAAATGTCACATATGTTCACTATTTTTTTTTGTCATACTAATGCATTTGTCAAAGTTTACACAAAATATTGAAAAAAGCCAGAACTAGCCTGTGTTTTATGGTATTTATCTCAACATCACACTTCAACTTCTGAATATGAGCTGCCAAGATTTCAATTGTTTAAACCAAAGGTTATACAAACATTATAGCAACCAGATGATTAGAAGACTTTGAATACCTTTCAGTGGTCTTTCTGATTTAGAAATGACTGTATGTGAAAAGTAAATGAAAGATGATCTTACAGCCACCCATTGGCATCTTTTATGCAAATCCCTGCTAAACAAAACATTTGAACACGGACAACTTCATAAAATTCCTTACAGAAATGAAAAACTAGCTGTCTATATTCCAGGCAGTTTCTGGTAAGGTAGGTACCATCAACGATCCAGGGAGCACACGCTGCTCAACAAGCGGAGCAGCACTCCACCTCCGCTGCTCTGCTGCACCTCCGCTTAACAGTTACCTGACGGGTGAAGTGCAGGGAGGGGAAGATCTGAGCGAGACTGTGTGAGACAGGGAAACTCTTCCCCTTCATTTTCATAATAAAAGGCTAAAGCTAAATACACATGTGCATATAAGTACAGTACATCAATACTTTACAATATTTTGTCACTTGTTGTATACATAAAACGACAATCAATACGTATTAAGCACATGTACACATATTTAACAGTGTTATACACTAATGTATATGGGATTATTTACCTGTACTGAAATACACATTATATACACACATAAAATTTAATCTCAAAATTTCATGTCTTCCTTCCATATTTTTATAAACCTGTAAAAACAGAAGTCACTGATTTTACATAACTTATTCTACTAGCAAAACAATTATTCTTTCCAATGTCAAAGACTTTTTTTTCCCCTTTACTACCTTTCATCAGTCTACTTCTTTTACAGGCAGGCTAAAGAGTAACTACACAGCAGTATACCACAATTCCTAAACCAGACTTGTTGTATTTACAGCAGCGAGTAGCGTATGAGCACATGTCTGCTTTTCATCAAGACAACCAAAAATATTTGGAACACAGCGTTATTAGGAACACTTGGCAACCACAAGGCCACAATTAACAGGAACGAACACTTGAGAGCAGTCAGAGCCTACCACGTCAGTGCTTCGAGAAGCTGCACGGTTCAGTACAACACCTGGGCCTGAGCAAACCCAGGCGAGCGTGCCCTGTGCTAGGAGCAGCTGTCAGAGCAGCACAGAGCCCAACGGCAGGAGACGCCCGTGAGGGGGACGGACTGCTCCGGCTGACCAACGCCCCAGAGACCCTCGTGCCGGGTGGGTTTCTACTGCTCCCCTTACCCCCGTCAGCGGCTCCCGATGTGACCTCATCCGGTGTCTGACCTCCAGTGCTTGTGTTTCTGTCCAGAAGGCTATCACATTTTTATTGATCTATCCGTAAACAAGATACAACCTGAATGAAATCAACGTAACCCAGACGCAGATCAGCCGTCTGCAGTTTGGGTATTATACTTTTTTCCTCCTAAAATGCCTGTACTGCTACAAAAATGCCACGAAAAATCTCCTAAAATATGCTTGAAACTCTTCAAGATGATGACAGCTCTTAACGCACCTCTTTCTGTTGCTGCTGTTTCCTTCAAGGGCCTTGAGTGCGACGGCGCCGTGCCCCTGTGAGGGCAGGACGGAGGCTGTGGGCAGCAGCCGGCGGCCTGGGCTGGTCACGGC